CCTCATCGAATGTCAAAAGTCCTCACTAAAATTTACAGTCGTTGATAGCGACAGTAAGAGGAACGGTCGAAGCTTGACTCGCACAAGCTCGAGCCGGCGAGAGTGTGTCACGACACTCGTCACAGATATCTGAGGATTTATGTTATTCCTGAAGGATTTACTAAAGAGACTGAAAGACCGACTTGAAACGGCGGTTATACCTGGCACAGAATAACAACCCCTAAAATTATAAGTACAACAGGACTCTTTTGATACCGTTTCCTAAAAAATTTGGAGCAACCTAAGAAAATCAGAACGAGTCATACACAGACCGGGCGTTCCTGCGCCTGAGTGTAACTATAACAAAAATAGTATACCAAAACGACAAGAATTGAACCTCTGATACACTGCACAAAGAGAGTCTAGTATACGGTACAGAAATAGAATCTACAATGGTAACGACATTAGATTGGACAAGTTTGGCACGTGCGACTGGCCGATAGAGCATAGTAATTGTGAAGTGACGACCAGCAAAAGCCGCACAAATTAGTACTTTTGCCACAATAGTAGCCTCGGATACAGTTTGTGATGCCTCCTCGATCGAATACAAAATGAGTATCAATTCGACGATACCTGGACACCTAGTAATTTTTTTCCGTAGGGTTTTTGATTTAGGCTCGAACCGATTTACTGCTAAGCCCTACGGCTTGCACTTACGGCATCTCTTGACTTCTCTACTATTCCTGTGATTTTCATAGGAAACAGAAAAGTTTACGACTCCGTCACAACCGTATAGATAGTCTTTTACATTTTCTCCTTTTCTTTGTAAAGAGACGTAGTAAGAAATTTTATAAAAAAAACAGTGTAGAGCATATGGATAAGAGTGCTGTTATCTAAGCGAAGAATTACGTGGAGTCTGATGGACACACCTCTGGAGGGACGTCAACACTTTAAAAGAAGTTAAAAAATAATATTTCAGGAAGGTGATCCTAGTTAGTAACGGAGTAGTTGCTGTGGAGACAGAGACGGGGACGAACGCAAAAACTGGCAAAACCCCGGATACTAGACAGGAGACACGTCCCCTAACAGGGAGTTTATGTTGGGAGACCAAGAGGTTAGCTGAAGGAGGAGCTAAAAAAATTTCCATATAGGTGATATGCCTGAAAACCAAGAACTGTAAAAAAATTGTCGCAGACGAGTTCCCCAATCAAGGCTTTTACCTTTGACGCAACATGTGGTAATAATTCTTGATCAGACCCTAGGTGCAAGAACGTTTGAAATCCGTAAAGTTTAACGGGTAAAATACATGGTTTTGGATCTCTCTAACATTCGTCAGTGAGAGCGAAAAGACCTTCCGTGTTCCATGAACTCAGAAGGTAGACCAAAAATTTTGAACTGTCGGGCCTTAGTCAGAAAATCTCAAAAATTACTATAGAAATCGTTGTCTAGTCCACTTACGTATATAGGAAATATTATAACTAGATTCCGGCGAAAACTTTCACCTGTACTCTAGTACTACGAGCAAACCTCGTCATCCACCGTAATCCGTTTCGGGAAGCTTACCAAATCCAGCATAGACTGACCATCCTTGAAAGACGCAGTCGAGACTCAGAGCAGACGAGGAGGAAAAACACCCCAAGGGTGTCCCCCCGAGGGTCACAATCCGGGGACAACAACGAGGGACATAAACCGAGGGAGAACCCAGCCGTAAGAAGTCCTCCTCGCCATAGCGAAAGCTAACGATACCGTTGCTAACGTTATATAGCACCGGTCGAATATTTCTTACTCGAGTATAAGTTAATTTGCGACAATATGACGCGAACTTCTGTAACGTAGGACCTACAAGTACGTGAAAAATGTTTAATGGCCCGAAGTCCGTGGAGAGTTAAAATAGCAGCAATCTGGAGGTAAAAGTTTGGTAAAGGCGCTGGACTCACCAGTAACGAGCCATGACTCTAATATGTCAACAACATGAAACAAGAATATGAACCTGGCTTTATCCAATGTTCACACAAGAGTTCTACATCCTGACACATCCTTCATCTACTGTCTCAACTGAAAGAGGACCAGAAACACATTAAAAATATAATAACATGTGGAGACTTAGGGATATTTATCCCCCATTCTTTACTTTTGCACATTTTACAGACCAAACATGTGGTTGATGTCACTGTTTACCAAACTACCACTTTTTCTGAAAAAATGCATAAAATGATGCAATATATGTTAAATACATGGTTTGTACAAGTAATTACTGGGTTTCCATTTCTTCTGATTACCTAATTTGGGCGTGCACATTTGCCACGCGCAAACCTACCTCTTTTGGATTTGGAAAGGTTGGCATGTATGAGGTAGTGGTGTTACGTATTGCGCCGAGGCTTCGGAGCGTGTAGCTTTTTATGAAGCTTGTATCGAGGCATGTGTCGTTTTGGGCCAGTGACGTCATCGATGACAAACGAAGCCTCGCTGCCTGTCGATACCACGTGACTGCTTCAGAAAGTGCTTTAGATCGGTTGAACCACAACGCTCATAATATCCATGGATATATAATAAGAACGATATTACCCCTCCTGTACCCGGGCCCGGTGACACGATGGAATTAAGAGAGCTCAGACCCTCACTCATATAGAGGTCGGAACATGTCATAAATAAATAAAAGCATAAATAGATGTAGGAATAAAAACATGAATAAATGAATAAATACAGAAATAAATAGTCTAAACTGTTTTCAGATAAATTCTCAGTGTGTGGGCTGTGGCTCAGCTGGAAAGCAGTTGACTTACAACCGCAGGATACCTGGTTCAACGACTGGTCAGTACATCTTTTTTTTTATTTTTTATAAAAGCTACAGCTAAATGAGATAATGTAGTTAATATATGTATTCTTTGATATGGTTTAGTTTTTCTTAGGCTACAACATGGTTAAGTTTACGAATATTATTAAGGAATACAAATCCCTCTTTGCAATGTTTACCAGCCTCCTTATAGGCTTTTCGATCACAATCATTAAACTGGAATAAAAACAATATTGTTAACATGAACATATGATTTTATGTTCGTTGTTTAGAGTTATTCTAAGGCTTTACTCATTGGGAACTCGGTATGAGATAGAGCACACTGTTGAGATGTCCAATCTGCCTGTTTTACACACTTTGACCAACAGGGGGTTTGTGTTCAAATGAAGCCCATGATGAAGCCTCATGAGACGAACCCTTTTGTGAACCCTTTGGCTGGAAAGCGTCAAAGCTTCATAAGGCTTCATCTCGCCATCACTGCTTACAGGTTGTGTACCCGAATCTCCCGCTGGTCCAAACAAAGTAGGAACATCATCGTTCTTCAGTGCCCTACGCTGTACATGTGATACACATGAATCGCTGAAAGGTTTGGGAAGCTTTGTTTTGTGAAAGGATGGCAGAGGGTGCGGCCATAGCTCTGGGCGTGGCTACTGGGTATCCCTACGTAGCGATACCCAGGAAGTAAACAATGGAAAATGAGAAATCTCCAACGAGGCGTTTTGGGGAGGTACTTTCTGTGTTACAGTTTTACTCCCTACAAGGTGTACTTTGAGGGTTTTTGAATCTGCACACCATTTACATGCATAAAAACCTTCATAACACACAAGGGGACGGGTAATAACCGGAAAAGCATGACATGGGACCTTTAAATGCATTTACCATACAACTATAAGCCCTTCATATTTGACTTTTGTGTTTACAGCTTATCCACTGCCATGTGGACAAATGTTGCTGCTGTTTCAACTATTTTAAATTATGTTATTTTTGAAGTTGTAAAAGGATGGGAGTCATTTCTATTTTGTAAATCGTGTTCAAGGGTTAACTACTATTACATAACATCAAAGGATATTTGTAGTGCAAAATGTAGCATTTTTCAGACCACTAACCAGGATATCTCAACCTATTTTTGACCATTCTTCTCTTTTTAAATCTGTCTCTTGCCAGTCCGACACATTTATTGAAAGCAAATACTAAGTGACTCTTAGAAAACTATCTCTCATAGTTATTCATTTTCTTTTCAGCCAATCTGAAGGAGCTGATCTCTCAGACGATGGTCAGCTGGGCCCAGGAGTGTCACATCCTGGACTCTGAGCTGGTCCGCAAGATGTTCAGCCTGCTGAGGAGGCAGTACGACAGCATCGGGGAGCTGCTCCGGGCCATGAGGAAGACTTACACCATCAGCGCTGCCTCCATCCAGGACACCATCAACCTCTTGGCCGCCCTCGGTCAAATCAGATCTCTGCTGTCTGTGCGCATGGGGAAAGAGGAGGAGAAGCTCATGATTGATGGCCTTGCGTAGGTTTATTTAGAGGAGCCCTACTTCTGTTAATTGCATCACAAATCAACTTTTATACTATGTGTAAATCATAATCTTTCTTGCTTTGCTAGTTTTAGTTTTAAATTATTTTGGCGCACTGCTAAAATGCCTTTTTGTTTTCAGTGAATGTTAACTATCTTTTATGTCTTGTATCTTCTCCAGTGACATCATGAACAACAAAGTCTTCTACCAGCACCCCAACCTGATGAGAATCCTGGGCATGCATGAGACTGTTATGGAGGTCATGGTCAATGTGCTCGGAGGACACAAGTCCCAGGTTGAACAACTTCTACCTCTATATTTCTCTCTTCCTCCACAGGCCATTAAAGAGGCTCCCACAGAGTTCACTGCGCCAAGAGCGATGCTTCTCACTGAGAAAGTTTCTCTTTTAGTCCAGTTTTGTGTGTTATCATTTGTAACTGTGCATTAATGAAGACGGGGTCCCAGTAGGTGGGCTCTCTCCTCAGGCTGACAGCATCAGAGTTAGGGATGGAGGGCAGAGAGGGCAGAGTGAGCGTGGCAGTGTGTGAAGGCTTTTCAGACTTTAATTAGGAACAAAGACATGCAGGGGGGACTTTATTGTAACAAGCCTGGAGAAAGTCATTACAATCAACTCTGCAACCCTGTATAAATCTCCCAACACTTGTTATCAAATTACTTTTTTTTGTTGAGTGACTATTAGCAATGTCTCGACATTAAGATAATAGTCTGTGAATACATTTATATTTTGTGTGCTTTTTGTAATCTCAGTTGTTTTATAATCTAACCAGGGAATGTTTTTGACCCTACTTAGTCTTTATGTGCCATTTCACAGGAAATTGCTTTTCCCAAAATGGTGGCCAGTTGCTGTCGCTTCCTGTGCTACTTCTGCCGGATCAGCCGCCAGAACCAGAAAGCCATGTTCGACCACCTCAGCTACCTGCTGGAGAACAGCAGTGTGGGCCTAGGTCTGTACTCCTGTCTATATCTCTGTTTAGCTGACTCTATTACTAATATCTAGATTCTAGAGTAACAACATTATTTAACTAGACATGCTAGCTAAAGAATGTTCTTAAAGAAGATGGATGGTGCATAGGATGGAAAACAAAATCGAAAACAGCCAGGGCTCTCATTTTTCTGTGTGATACACTGTAGTCATCCCTTTTGCCATCATAGGACTTGAGCTGTGCCTATGAGCTCACATATATTAGCGTTGCACCTTGAAGAACGTGTGTGTAATTGTGAGTCGGAGTGCTGAGAATTCAGAGAGAGCGACTCATCTCAAATTCTGTTAGAAGATGGATGATTTCCGGCTTGGGGGTGAGAGTGTCTCCCCTGAATGCACCCAATCACACACACGCACACACACACTCACGCACGCACGAACGCACACACACACACACTTCAGACTGCTCATTAAGCAGGTAACTACAAGTAATCCAAGACTAGAGCTGAATGGGACTTAACATTTAGAAAAAGCTACAACCACAGTATTAATGATGGTCATAGTATTTACATTGCTACATAAACGGGTTCCTATTAACACCAAATATTGAGTGACCCCTCACCTCATTATTATGAGGTGAGGGGTCACTCAATATTTGGTGTTAATAGGAACCCGTTTATGTAGCAATGTAAATACTATGACCATCATTAATACTGTGGTTGTAGCTTTTTNTGTCAAAGCATTAATTCATGGTTTTTACTAACCGGTATCAGTATGTTGTTACTTCAGCACAATTTTGAAACGTGTATTACCGTCCGTTGTATTCTACAAAATAATATTTTAAAGCATTTTTAAAAAAAAGATTTTTTTTTTTATTTTGTTACATTTTTCATTAGTTTTACCAAAATAACTTGATTTAATTGTATTTAAAATAACATTTCCATATAAATAAATCCTTCGATTTAACTATTCAGTTTCTGTTGGAAGGTGAAGGGTTAAATTAAAGAAGCTCGTCTGGGACCTCATGTATAATGCCGTGCGTAGGATTGACGTGGGAAGGTTGCTTACGTAGAAAAATAGGTCCATACATTTTCCACCACTTTCCGATTCCCCAAACATTGCGTACTGGCGAGGAAAGTGCGTATGGCACCTCCTACGCCTGTTTCCCTTTATAAATCACAACCGACTTGAAATGCGGTGCAGCTTTTATAATAAATATAAATAGTCAAAGAAACAATTGAATGAATTTCATTCATTCATTTTGACTGACTGCATGGAGAAGATCGCAGGAAATGACGACAGAACAGCTAAAAAAAAACTTCTCACACCTTGTCAGATTTTGGTTATTTTGGGGAGGTGGAGATAAATCATATTGTTTGGTGGATGCAGTTTGAACCAGAGTAGCAGCATGGAGGTCGGATCGTCTCCAAAATAAATAAATAAGTGGTCCGAAAAAGGTTAATGACAAAAAAAATACACATAGCCTTCCTCAGGCAGTGTGTTTGTACCGGGGAATGATCGGGGAATCCCTCCGGAGTGGAGTCATGACGACTGGATCTGAATTATGTTTTTGTATTTGGCGGTTTGTATCCCAGCTGTCGATCAGCTGTGCGCAGCGTCTCCACTGCAGCCTGTGCATCTCAACCCTGCATCTCAACCCTCTTTGAGTTCATCTCATGAAAAATGGGAGCAAAAACAAAAGTGTTGCATTTATATTTTTGTTCAGTGTATATAAAACCATGCTCGTATCTACAACCTATAGAAATGCAAAACGGCGTCAGTTTATACGTAATTCTGTCCTCCTGCTTACCGCATCATTTATGAGAAAACATTTCATAACATGAACACAACATATTCGAGGTGGTTTTAAATAACATATCCGTGTTTATTTATTTCTCCAAGTTATGTTTTTGTGTGCACTGAGGAGTCGCAAACAGGCGTTTGTTAAATCATTTTAAGATTGGCTTTAATCAATGTTTGAAAATGAATTCTACATATATGATAAATGAGAGGTAACATTTTATTTATGGTATTATTTCCACATATTTCTCTCCATTCTTCCTTCTGCCAACGGTGTCGCAGTTTCTCGTCTCTCCCGTTTTTGTGCTTAGTGCGTACGCATGGGTTAGAGTTTGCGTGGAGGACCGCACGTTTTCCCGTCAAGTTAGTATTTTATAAATCGCAAACATTGCGTAGAAACTGGCGTGCGCCATTTTTTTTGTGTATATCCCTTTATAAATGAGGCCCCAGAACACATAGACAAAGTACAGTATAGTGCATATTTGTACACAATAAAAGAAGGTATATAACAGGAATAATTGTTGTTAAACGGCCAACAAAGCTTTGTTGCTTCTTACAAACAAAGCTTTGGAAGATTTATTCAGTACTACACGCTGGTTAGTATAATCAAAACTAGAACAAAATAAAGGTCCCACACAAATGGCAAGCACTGACTTCTTACAAAAGAAGAAGAAGTGGAGAGATTTTAGTCAGTTTGGGGCAGCTGACCATGAACTGAACAATCTATCCGGATGTCAGAGAAGCATGCATGCGTTCCTTCAGTCCAAGGTAAAAAAAGAAGGTGGTTTTATTACATTCAGTGAGGAGGAGGAGGAGGAGGAGGAATGGGGGTTGAAAAAGGTTTGGTGGGGAATGAGGAGAGGGAGCAAGAAGTTGAACTGAGAGCAATCAAGATGTCAGCATTGCATAGGATGAGTAGAATCTAAACCATGTATTTACCCCGCTCACTCACGTTGACTGCGACCGATGAGATAAAAAACATGATCAGAAGGAAACAAACAAACAAAACAAAAGCAGACATAAGCAAAGGAGAAGACATTTATATTCAATCAGAAGAAGTAGGAACAGGAGAGAGTGATAGCGCTATATATATATATATCTTTACATAACATTGATTTGCGACATTGGCATGGGGTTACAGTTAAACAAAGTCTTAATAAAGTTTGCTCTCTACGGCAGGTGTTTAGACTACAGGTTACCATCACTTACGCCTGAGCTCATGGGGTGAGATGAGCTGGAATATGCATGAGAAACACATATTTATATACTGTATGCAACCCATCAGATCAAATAGAGACCTCTGATTACATGTGGATTCTTTATGTGGATGTCATTGTGACTGTGAGTGCTTTTAAGTGGCAGACAGGACTTAGACATACAGTAGCACAGGTTTACCTGCATGGCAATGACACACAACATGAAACACGGGAGACACACGTGACATGGAGATGGACTCGCACAAATGGCAAACTAAAGAGCAGATGTTTCATTGAGCTAATGCTGCGCCATTCGTCTTGCAGCCATTTACAAGCCAGACCCAAAGGGACAGCAACGCCACGATCCTGAATGAGACACATCATCCAACAATAATATGTCTGTGTGGTTTGGGCCACATCGGTCACACAGAGGCGCTGAAAACTTTAAGTGTTGCTGAAAAAAGGTCTGTCTGCTGAAGATAATAGAATCCCATGACCGGTTTCATTAACAGTGAGTTTACATTGTAATCTTCATTTTATAAAAAAGTCGGACAAACATTGTCAAAATCAGACCATTTTTGACTTTTTAACTTTAAAACAAAAACTGGGCTCCCAAAAAAGAAAAGAAAATTACAATTAATAACGCTGCATTCAAGGCTTACATACTCCATCACCATTTACAAATCAGCGACTGCCTTTCACTTTCACAAGAAAACCTATGTTTTTATTGCCATCAAATGTTGAATGTGTTTCATTTTCTCTCACTATTTATATTTCTTGTTATCTTGCATTATCATCATTTTCATGGTCTTAGTATAAATATTGTCAATACAGATATTTTTCGTACACTGATAAAACATCATCTCATACTTTGATTCAATAATTGACTTGTACGTGTCTTATTCAGTACCACGTTAAGGTGATGAATAAATTGTATAACTTTACCTCTGTGTGGTCTAAAGTTTCTTGGAAGAAGACAGACCAGTCAGAGACAGAGAAGTTTACCATGTTTAGAGTCCTCACTTACTTGATCCTTCTTCAGTAACCATCCCCAGACCTTCAGCTTTATTTTGTCTTTCAAATGCATTTAAGTCCAGGACACTAAAAAAGATAACATACACGTTTTTAGTAATTATACATTTGATTTCTATCAGTATTTTATTAGACTTCCATTAAGGTAGTGGATTCAGAAGAGACAGTTCAAAATATAATGGGTAAAGAAAAGGTTGGTAATATTCTGACTTATATAATATAATATATTTCAAAAACACTCGACTACACTCGACCCTTCCCATAAATCAACTAATGGTATACTTAACATTTTCAGACATTTTGGCACAGGATTTGCTTCACTCAACACATCTTTTTACGTAATGGTTAGTAGTTAGTAGCTTCATTACCTGCAAGACATCATGAGTCCAGACAAACTTTTGAAAAAGCCAACATCTCTTTTTTCCTTCAGGTAGTCCAGCATTTTCTGCATCAAGATAAAAGCTCATTAAATAGTAGCCTGATGCTGTTAACCAGACACATGTTACATGCTGTCATCACGTACCTGCTGCACCAGTATGTTTCCCCCGTTGAGGACTGAGATGCCAAGTTTGAGGGTGAAAGTCACCATAGCACCGAGTCGACCTGATGACCACAAATCATACATCATACAGTGTGGATACTGAAGTTTGCAGTAACAGGCAGGCAGGCAGGTTAGAGTCTCTTCCTACCTTTGCTGGCACTGATCATCTGGAGCACCATCTCCGCAGCGCCTCGGTCGTGTAGGCGGGCTTGCTGGTAAAGCATCTTTTGCTTCTCCATTTCCTTTTCCTGTACGAAATGATGATACAGTAAGCACCACTTTGGAATATGAGTATAAAGGGTATTCCGGAGAAGTCAACAGCACCTCAAATGTTTTCTCTTTTCCTTCCTCCTCTTCTTCTTCTTCACCTTCATCACAACTCTGAAAGAGAAAGCAGAGTGTCAGATCTGTGGAACAACAACAGCAGCAATATTTTAGTAAAAGCAATTTTCAAGATAAGTACCTTTGCCATCATATCTGCATATGCAATATATAAGGGATCCTCTTCCAAAGAACTAAAGGAGGAAGAAACAACATCAGATAATAATAAGCAAGAATCTGCTGATATTTTTCTTATATTTATGCCAAGCAGCAAAGCTACAGAGGAATACTGAAAAACTGCTCATGCTTATGTTTGAGTATAAAATACATGGCAATGATTTAGCTTAATGAAGCTTGGAATTAGCTCAAATAGGCCAACGCTATTATGAAGCACAGATGGAGCAAAGCGCATTGGTGCCAGTTGGCCAAGTGTGTGACAGCGAGTGTGTATTCACCTGCACTCAGTCAGAGCGTTGTGGCTGAAATGCAGGATGAGCTGGTGAAGAGGGTCTGGCTGCTTTCTGACCTCCTCCTCTTCCTCCTCCTCCAGTTTGGGCTGTGTTTTCTGGACAAACCCATGCTGGTAAATACTGGAGCTCAGGCACGTGGCCTTAATATCAAGAGTCCAATATACTTCTTATGAACAGTGGTTACAGCAACAGGGCTACTTAACGAGACACCACTTACCTTCAAAGAATTAGAAAAAAAGACAGTAATAGGAAACATTGATAGCATGCAAGAGGTTAACCACAAGCACAAGCATGGACACAATGACAGGAGCATCCACACACACTTACATGCAGCTGATTATGTCAAGCAGTGTGGGAAAAGGAGTTAAGCATGACTCCTCATAAGCCCTTTTCTGGCTGACTGGATCAAAAATCGGTTAACTGTCACACCCTTAACTTCGTATGTGGTGCCCTGTGGCTTTCAATTTAAATAATGTTAAACAGATTAGATGTGTATATTACGGAAAGGGCTCAGTAGGGTATGTTCCAGCGCTGGGTTCATGATAAAATACTGAATTCATTAAACCCTATTTTATAAAGCCTTTAAGCATTTTTAAATAAATCTGTGAAACTGTAAGCTAACATGGGCCAGTGTAGAATTATTCTTGAACTTCTGCTTTTTATATGCATGACGGTAATGTCCACATTTAAGAAACAGACCACAGAAATGACGCTGGTAAGATGAAGCATCGAGGCGAGATCGCTTCTTACCGATGTCGGATGGCACACGGTGGTCAGAATACAACGGCTGGCTCTGACATCAGCGCTGATGTCATGCTCGCCAACAATGGAGGTCTGGTTGTAAAACAGTGTATGAATGACTGAGTGCAACACGGTGGTACGAGGGGGAATCGGGGTATTCTTAGTGATGGCACAAGTATAAAAGTGTAGAGACCACGCTCAGCACATGAGGAGGCACTGGGGGGGGGACGACGACATGTACTTACTGCCAAATCCTGCACTAGCTTCTCCTCAAAAGAGTACTCTTCTGTTTCTATCCATATTCTCTGATAGGCCAGGAGGAAGAGGTTAATAGAGCGATGCCTGAGGAAGGGTGAGAGGAGATTAGCCCGGGTTAGATAGGAGCAGAGCGGAGGAGGGAAGGAGACCCTTCAGGAGAGGTTGATGCTGGTTAGTTTAGGGGACTGGCACATCCACCTGGTCACCTGAGGAAACTCGTGTAGGGCTGCAATAATGCAACACGTTTTTTTATTAGTGATTAACCGTTTGGACTAAAACATTTAAAAAAAGTGCAAAATCCAAAGTGATATCTTTAAATGTCTTGTTTTGTTAGTTCGAAACCCAGAGATAGATAGTCAGTTTAATGTGACATAAAACCAAAAGAATAAGAAAATCCTCATTTTTGAGAGGGTGAAAATTGCCTTTTCTGAAAATGTCTTAATTAACAATAAGATGAATTGACTATTGATATTCATTTTGGTCATTTGACTAATCAATACGTCGACTAACAGTTGAAGCTCCATTTCATGTGTTCATTGATACACAAATGTGATGCTCTCCACCAGACTGTTATTCAAAATGTATTTATCTTCTCATTAGCAGGAAGCAATTGCCATTTTTGTCTGGAGTAATGAGTTGATCTGAACTTTGATAATATTGTGTACCCATTTATCTGCACATCAGTGACAGCTGAAGGAATAGTTTGACATTTAAGGGTTGGATCTCGATTCATATTTAGCGTACAGACACAAGCGTGCGTGTAATCTTATCTAACTCTTGGCAAGAAAGCAATTACAGTACGGATATCTCCCAACATGTCAAACGTTTCCTTGCTTTATAGTACAGATATGGATCTTCTGAATAAAGAATTGCAAAAAAATGATATGGACCAGTGAAAAAACCAGCGGGAATATTTATGTAGCTTGAGGAAAGCAAAGGGTAGTTGAGAAAGGTGCGGGGGGGTACAGAGGCAACATTGGATCAGCACTACGTTACCGTCAGCGTGGAGAGCAGACTGTCATAGTCTGTGTTCCCATAAATTATGTCCAGCCAAATATGTCGGAAGGCTTTCAGGAAGTAATTATTATTTTTGTGCCTGAAGGGATGAGGTACAATAGAGTGTGACATTGAGCAGAGAATAAAAGCTGAATAGAGAGAGACAAAAGAAGAAAAGATGAATCTGAATGCTTGAAACTCCGGGAGACAGAAGCTTCACAAATCTATTAGCCCAAACAAATACAATCAACTGAGCCAGCATTGTGCAGACTGTCTAATAATTATAAGTTATGCCGTGTCATATTTCACTGTCAACAACTCTGAATAAACGAGTCATGCTGTCAGGCAGGCGGGTGGCAGCACATATTGAAGATGGCCGCCCCCAGGTTGGGCCTCGTAATTGTTTTCCTCCCAACTGTAGCTCTCTGCCTGACATTCTGTGATTGAGTTACTGAGCAGCAGGGCATGAAATTGCCAGTGTCCCTTTTTTTCTACTCCTTGATAACAGCTGCGGGCTAGACATTTGTCCTACAAACTGAGGGAGGGGGACCCTTCATTAATGCAGGGTCAGAACCCGAGAAGCGACAGAAATGCTAACGAAGAAGAAAGAGTGGTGATCGTCTACTACTAGCAACACAAGGAGCTACTTTTCCTGTGGAGTGTCATGATGGATTTACGATTATAAGACTGTTTAACATGGTTTAAGGATAAAAACAGTGTAGCAAAGATACCAGATGGTATAAGTGCGATGTAAGTAGTCGTACCTTGGCAGATTATAAAGTGGAGCCATGCGGAAGCAGGCGACGACCGCTCGCTTTCTCTGCTTTGACAACAGCTTTTGCCACACACACTTCTTGGATCTCAATGGCTGCTCCACCTGATGGGAGTAGAAGAAGTCAGTTTTAAGATTACAGGGTTAATAAAGACTGGAATGGCTTCTACACTGGGAAAACTAATCTGTTATAACTGAGAATCCCATTTACATGTAGCCTTCTAGTCTTCTAGTTTGTCCTGTAGGGAGTTCCTAATTAGGAGTGCTATTTAAGAAATTAAAGGGATTCATGTATAATGTTGTGGTACAGGTTATTTATTATCCCGCTTATATTTTTGATGAATGCAGTTTATTTCCCCCTCCATATATTTCAAGCCTGTGCTGTAAACGTTCCCTAATTAAGGGGAGTTTATTTAGTCTCTGTACTGTTTGACTCTGATGAATGATGTTAGTCTTCGCATTAACTGTGTCGCCTTAAATCTGTGCACTCCAGTAAACTATTGACCTATATTCTAAAGTCTCTCCTGTTACTGCAATTTGTGTTTTGTCACTCATGTTAAACCAAGTAAAAAGCACTGAGTGAAACACGGATTCAAGCTTTTTGTTGTGGTTGTAACTATGAAAATGCACAAGAAAGCTCTAAGATTTAATGTTTTTAGATCTCACAATATGATACAGTGAAATATAGTCTGAGCTTTTTATGAAGTGCTATAATGAATACAGGGGTGAGTGTGGGGGTAAATCATCCTATGCCGATATACCGGACTGAGTAGTGTAATTTACAGCTCATAACATATTTGGGTGTGTAGGTGTGTTTAATCCGGACCTGCTCCAGGTTGAAGACAGCAGCAGAGATCCTCTGGATGCGGTCCACCACCCTGTCAGGGTCTGGGGGTCCGTCGCTTCTCATCGCTACGTCCTTGTACAGGTTTAGCTGCCACCTCACTGCGGGGTCCTCTGACTGCGAGTGGGTTGCAAAAAAAGGAAGTGATATACAATACATGCAGTTTTTTTAAAGGAAAAATAACCACACAGTCATGGTATGGATTTTCTCACCCTTTCTCGAAGGTGCAGATTCTGCCGGATATGATCTTTGACCTCTTCGTCTGTGTCTCTCTATTACACAATAACAGGAAGACTGATAAATAGCGATACATTTAACGTAAGAAGTGTTCTTGATTTATCTCATAAAGCTATGTTCAATGTGTGGCCATGGTCACATAGAAGTTGTCTCACCAGCAGGTAGCGAGTCTTGGCCAATGAGATGAGCTCCTGGTCTCCTGGGGTACACATGTTGAGGCCGATCGGCAGCATCTTCTTCAGAGCGGCCACAATCAGCGAGGTCTGGATGGAGTAGAACTCACCACGCCTTTTCTTGTGTTTCCTCTCTTGATCTTGTCCTCCAGACTGACAAATTAAAGCTATTAACCTCAAATAACACAAAGTGGTGAATAGTAGCGGCTAAGTACGCTGGTGTTTTTTGGTAAATAATACTATTTTCCAATTTTTGCCAAGATTAATGTTGCACTTAAGCACTTGCTTTTCAAATGTTCACAGATAACTTAACAGTATTGTATTTGATCTTGTTTCACACATTGCATTAACTGTTTTTTTCAGACCTGGCAAAAAAATAACTGTGACCAGACTGAATCTGTGCCAGTGAAGCAATAAGAAGTTTCACACCTCAGCTAAAAAGCAGAACTAAGACTCAATTCTGTAAGAACTGCAAGATGCTACTAGGGAGGGTGATTGCATCTTTGAGCCAAATTGAAGAAGCTGGCTCGTCGAAAACATTCATTTACATATAAATACAGATACAGTACACTGACACACACACGCACATTGTCTAATTAATTACACACCAACTACAACATAGAATAAACAGCACGAGGTTACTATATACACACCAGGGTACCACAATCCATCAACTGCAAACACACCAGCGATCATATGATTTGCCGGGCTTCATTACTCCGGAGGAGACGTGTTCCACCCATGAACCAATGAGGGATGAGCAAACTTACCATGTAACACATGGTGATGAATGGCGGTCACAAATAATCAGTTGACGTACGAGAAATATTTAACTACACTATATTGACTAAATAGCACAGCGGCACAAGCTATTGGCTTTTCTGCTTAGCGATCGAGCATATAAGCCAATAAGCTGGCAGGTTGACAGCACATGCACTGCATCACTCTACCTTCTCCTTAAAGGACTGTTTGAGATAGAGAGAGGGACAGGAAGAGAGAGGCAGATAGAATAAAAAAGGATGAGAGGGCAATTAATGAAGGCACACAGTCCTCACATGGACGACGTGCACTGCATGAAAACCACTTGTTTGTCTTCAAACTGATAAAACAGGCGGACAAGAAATTATGCTCTAAAAATGAAGAAAAAGGAGTGCAAGTTTCTGTAATATTAGTTTCTGTTAGTTTAAGTACTGTTTAAAAGCATGCATGTAGAGAGAGACACACACACACACACACACACACACACACACACACACACACACACAAACCAATGTTAAATGCAGACAAATGTCTTTTTTGTCACTTGTAGATCCTCAGAGGTTGCTTTGGGCATTTGACATGTTAACATACCAGCACATGTACACAAAAGACGTTGTGTTTACATGGCTGAGATGAAATGTTGACATGTATCTTGCTCAGTTTAGTAATCCTGCTTATTTATGGATCTTTCTAGCTTTCTCACACACATTCCATGGGTCAAAGCGGTGCCATAACACCCAAATAAAAGCGCTTGAATCGCCTGCCAGAACAAGGATATTAAGCTGACAGTGTAGAGAGGAAATGAGGAGTAGCAAAGAAATACCTTAGACATCTTGGTTTTATTATCTCCCGTTAAGAAGGAAAGGTTGTTGATTTCATTCTGAACCACAAAGTTCTGCTCTTCTCTTTTGAAATTCTGGAGAAAAAGCAATGCCAAAGAAAGATTATTGTTCTAATTAATAAAGGATGTCTCCTTTTTTGTAGCTTACCATTTTTGGAGATAAGAAAACGTACGTGTGACTTGCACCAGAGGATAAATATCTCAGCGACCATTCTGAAGAGCTCATTGGAGTCAGCGTCTGGCTCCTTCAGCCACCTCGACCTGCAGTGAACAACAGAGATGAATACATCCGCCTTCTTTTTTCTGCAAACATTAACATCTTTAAATGACTCCATCAGCCACTTCTCAGTGAGCGAACCTGTTGTTGTCCACATAGCGGATGAGCATGGGGTAGAAGGCGTACAGGTCCCTGCAGAGTACGGCAAACTCGTCCAGGATGAGCAGCTCGGCCTCCTGGGTGTCTCCCTTACTGTCCGCCTTCAGCAGCTCCTCCTCAGACACCACCTTCACCGTCTTCTTCTTCAGCTTCTCCAGAGTAGGCAGGAAGTGGCTCTTCAGCAGGTCGGCACGGGCCTTGCTGATGATGGGTTGCACGTACACTGAATGGTGGAATAGAGAGAAAATGTTACTTTGTTGTCATGTGGTAATTGTACGAGTGAAACCCAGTTAAAACCTCCTATGGACTGTACCATCCCTTTCAAGCGGGGAAACTGCAAATATACTGAAGAGCTTGACAAATACAGTTTATTTTTGTTATTTTCTTTCAATTTCAAAGGTATAGAGTAGTAATGAAAATGTGGGTCACAGGTTCCTCAACAATGCAATATTAATAATACAAGACACACAACAAATACGAGAAAAGAACAACAATACAAATAGTGCAAGCTCAGGAGATTATCAGTCTTATGGCCTGTGGGATAAAACTGGCTCTGAGTCTGGTCGTTTTAGATGCTGCGGTACCGCTTGCCTGACAGCAGCGGACAGAACAGTTTGTTGCTGGGGTGACGGGGGACTTAATAATTCTGTTGGCTTTCTTCCTGAGACACTGGGAGATGAGGTCCTCCAGAGGTTACGTTTTCTTTTTAATTTTTAGGAAAATTAGATACTATTTTAGTTGAATTTCTTTACTTTTTGCCAGTTTAATTTACATAAATAATGCCCAACGTTAAACTTTTCCAACATTAGCATTTCAACCATGAAAGCTTTTACAATGTCCTGTTTAAGAAAACAAACAAATAAAAACAAGGTAGTTTGTTTGCAGGTGCTATGGTTCTGGTATTCCTGTGAGATGGTTCCACATCAACACCGTTAGAAACAGAAAAGCAGCTCTTCCCACCTGCAATCCTCTTCATCCAGGAGGCCTCGTCGATTCCCAGGTTGTTGTTGAGGATCTTGAGGATGTTGCCCAGAATGAGGCTGAGGTTTTCTGAGGTGACGGTGGTGCAGCAGATGCTCCCCCCGCTGGCCAGCTGGTTCTCGGGCCCCCTCTCCCACCAGTAGGACAGATAGTTACACAGCATTGGCAGCACCACCTCGATGACGTGGGGCATCTCCGTGTAGCGTGCCCCAGATTCAGCCATATCGTTGATGTCCTTCATCAGACCGTCCAGCCGCGGCATCCCGGGACACATCTCCGCCACCGAGTCCTGTATGCCTAGGACTAAAAACATACAACCATGTTTACATTGTCAAATTGTTTATATCTCATTATTTATGTTATGAAAAGAGATATTTATCAAACTTAAATTAAGCACTGTTGACACGAACACAGCACTGATATAATATTTCATACTGAAGATAGAACTTCATCTCAAAATGGTGGAGTTGTTTTCAAAAGAAAGACATGATCCTTGCTTATTATAACAGCTATTTCTTTAGCCACTTTGGTCCGCCGCTAGTAAGGAAGTTGTATATTTTTGGAATATTTTGTTTACTCACTGGATCGTTCTCTAGCACTCTTGGTATTGAAGACGGAGCAGGGGTTGTATGCGTTGAGCACCGGCTCCAGGAAGGCAACAGGCATAGCCCCGGCCAGGGTGGCCAGACACTGACCGAGAGCTGGCAGCTGTCTGAGGGACACAGAGAGGAGAGGGGTTTGCGATGTTGAACACATTTTCTCACTCAGGTTTTAATTACTCGACACAGTGTATAAGATGTATAATGACATATGAGGGCCATTGTTTGGTAGAATGTAAAGAATTAAGGAGCAAGAAAGGAGCTCTAATTTGTACAGAAAATGAACCCATTAGTGAGTAAGTCCAACAGTGTAGAACATGGCAATTCCAGATGCTTTTAGGTGATTCTGGGCTTCTGGAGTGTTTATTTTCTTCCTAAATAAGCTTGCAAAATAAGCTCGATTTAATTAATTTATCCACTGCAGCCAGCATCAATTTTCCCTTATTATTTTTATATTTAGTTGTGCCATGTTTGTAAAATTTTATCAAAGATGTACCACTTCAATATCAGGGAATATCCAACTTAGTTATTGGAAATTCTGATCTCTTCTCACTGCATTACCCCTTCCCCTGGTTCTGTAATATGTATATTTTTTTATAGCTAGAATGGCCCTAATTTACTGCTGCAAAGATGAGATACCTTTCTACATAGATGTTTTTCCCAGTTCCTAGTGCATAGAGACTGGTCAGGATTCGATAGCAGGACACTTGTACATCATCCACTGGGAGAAAAAAAAGAAAGAAGTCTGTTAATAAGCAAATTAATGTTTAGGGAACTTCGCTGTACATATCTGAATCAAGCGACAGATATATTCCATGGTGTCAGGATGTTAGAAGCAGGCAAGCACTGCTTTAAAATAAACTTAACATTGACACTCGCACAAAATGTTTGATCATCCCTCTCATGTAGGCACTCACGAAGCAGGTCGACTCCAAAGTGGTGTTGAGTGATGTGTTCAAACAGAGCGGTTAAAATGGGGAGCAGAGCCACGGTGGTGTAGTTGATATTCTGCGACACCCCTTTCATCTGGGAGCGAGAGTGAGTGAACTTTCCCAGCTTCAGGTTCTCGAACGTCTTCTCAAGATCCTCTGCAGCATTCTCAAAGAACGTCCTCAGCCCCAGCCTCACCTGCTCCGAGCCCGACTTCATCACCGTCCTGTTGGAGTGAAAGGCTGAGTGATAAATGGCCTTAACCAAATGAGCTGATATGCTAGGGTGGGGCAATAATAAACCACAGGATACCCCTTGGTATGCAAAGGACAAAAACCACAGTGGGACGCGGTCACATTATGCAATTACTTCACTTTCATACTGTGAAGGTGTTAAACATGAAATATGAGACATGTGACAATCAACCTTCAGCCTTAACACTAAAATATCCATTTATTATATTAATTTTTGGAGGAATATTCAAATCCAAGGTGAGTTTGCCAATTCTGAAGACGTACTGTTACACTCTGAAAAAGCACAATGCATTAATATGATTAGACCGTCCGCTGTTGGTATTTCACACTTCATAACATTGCTAAATGAATTACACTTTGTAAAGCCTTGATGTGTTTCACTAGGAAGGAGAAATGAAAGGCAATCTATGGGCATCAGCTGTGGCTCCTCAGCACAAACAAGACACAATATTGCATTGCCCATTTATTCTCATTATGTGTGAGCTGCATTAACAAACAGTGCATTGTCTCTAAAGAGCACTATAAGCGTCGGGCAACATGTGCCATATGACATTTGTTTTGCTTATTTAAATGCCAGAGGACGCTCTTTGTTAATGCCAGCGCCTCCCATAAGACAGCGCAGTAATAACTGTTTAAAAGAAAAATGTTTATGATAAATATGCTATAAGGGTCAACAGGGGTTAGATTCTAAAGCATTGCATCATTAACAATAAAAAACAATTAATTGGTTCCTTAAAGCATTATTGTTTGAACCCAGTAGTTATCTATTTATAACAATTAAAATATTTCATAAAAGCCCTCAAAGGTGCCAGGTCCCCTGTGAGTCTTGATGCTGCTGTACTATTTGAACTCACCTGGTGTCCAGAGTGTGTGCCAGGATGTGAAGACAGCTGACAATGGTAGTAGAGTCGCTCCCTAAAAGACAACACAAAATACTTTAATATGACGTAACTATACACACACTGTCCTCCAACAGCCCTCAATCAAAGGCTAGGGTTCAGTTAAATATGGTAAAGTAAGTGAAACAATATCTAATGACCTCCTCAGATAGATTTAGGATATATGTAATGGATTCAGTGGTTTGTCCTTTAAGTTGCTGTTGTTCATATTTAACAGTTAAACAAGCCAGTTGTCGGTAAGATAACATTTGAAGCTACTACTAGCAGCTAATTAGCTTAGCATAGCTGGAGCAACAGCTACATGGCTGCCTTTCTGTATGACAATCGGCCTACTAGCATCTTTAAGGCTTACTAATTAAAGTGTTATATGTTGTTTGTTTCACAAATAATTAATCAAAACTGTATTAGGAATGAATGTTTTAGTATTTGGTGTTTTTTCATTTACCAAATTCTCTTTCTGGTTATCTGTGAACTCAATACTTAATTTGTGGCCACTGTTATTAAATAAAACCATTCTGTTGATGAGAACTGAAAATAGGTCCACGAGAACCAAATAAGACATTATACAATGACAAACACTCACTTTTACAAAACACACACACCCTCACAACCATACCAACCCAGTCTCACGGCATTTCGTGTTATAGTCACGAAATTAATTACATTTTCACCAACACGATTTTCGCATTTTATTCATGTCACACAGAACGATTTTAAAAGCAATGTATTTCTATTGGTAGTATGTTTCGTGCCTGGCTGCACCAGGTCTTTTTGTCCAGTCGGGTCTTGGAAGACAGGAAATTGTGTGGTTCATAAAAACATTTTCTTACTCAATATCTTACCCTAAGCCTTTTATTTTAAATAGTATAATGTCGGAGTTTTTTAGCCGTCCGCAAGGAAAATAAATGGGGCAAAGAGCCTCAGAATACTGAAATGTTTCCTTCTAATTTGTTATTATTTGGTGCAGGCACGAAACGTACTACCAATATAAATACATTGCTTCTAAAATCGTTCTGTGTCAGAATACTGAAATCTGTATTTCCTTCTAATTTGTTATTATTTACATTGCTTTTAAAATCGTTCTGTGTGACACGAAAAAAATGGGGAAATCGTGTTGGTGAACACGAATCAATAGATTAATTTCGTGACTATAACACGAAATGCCGTGAGACTGTTTTGCACATAAATAGGAATCAGCTTACCAAAGAGAGAAATCCTATGTCTGACAAGAGCTGCCAGTTTACAAAACAGGCTGGAGGTGGATAGAGAAAGGAAGGAAGTCAGACAGTTAGAATGAGTTTATTTTGTTAAAGAGAAGATTAGTAATTAAGATTATAGAAAGATTTTAAATTTAGAAAAGTAACAAGTTAAAGTCATGCAATATTGTTCTAGGCAAGTCTAGTACCTGGTGACCATCTCCTTCTCTTTGTTGGAGGCGTAACCGCTGCTGCTCAGGTTCTTACTCGGGGAGGAGAGGAAGTAGAGCGAGTGGTTCTTGAAGTATTGGTCGATGAGGGGGAGGAGAACCTGAAGGAGGACAAAGATAATGACAAGATCACATTGGGTTTATTGCATTTTATTCATAAGATTTACTATAGATGCAGCTTTATTTATTAGGCATACTCACTTTGGCGAAAAACTTGATTTCTTGTTCATGAGGCGATCTGTCTGTTTTGCCACTTGCGGCCATGGACTCTGGATTGACAGAATACAAACACACATTACAATGTAACCAATAAGATTAATTGAATTCTCTTTTAATAAGCCCTATGTAATATTAGCATACCCAGGTGAGCGATGAACTCCTGAGCTGAGTCGACATACTTGAGCAGCTTCTTGAGGAACTTGTAAGCAAACCTCTTCTCCATGGAGGAGGAGTCCTGATCTAAGTCCTTCAAACACCTGCAACACATTAAGATATTAGCCATAAATCAACACTTTCAAAACATTAGATTCAAATTACCCCTGACTGTGTTTACAATCAACTGGAGAAGTTATTTAAAAGAAAAGTTTATACATTAGCAAGATAATTTAAGATAAACATCCTGGGATGCCTCACCTTGTGATGCTGTATCCATTGATCTGCAGGAAGCGGAAAAGGTCCAGGGCCTTCTCTCGATCACGGGCCTTCTCTTTGGCTGTCAGTGTGTCGTAGGGCACCAACATAGGGTGTGTCCCTCCGCCTGAAACCACACACAACACAGGGTGATGTGAGACTTGATGAGCCGCAGCCCATCTACACTGTAAAGGCAGAAGGTGACTAAAAAGTAGATGTACCACTTAACTTACTTCCATTATTCTTGTATTTCTTCATTGCCAAATTTGTTTCAGTGTTTATACATTCATTTTCCAGCCCCACACCACTGTGATTCCATGAACAAGGCAAATGTATGTGGTTACTTCACACATCTGTGATAACAGTAGCACAGTTGAGTAACTTTAATTCAAATTTCTAAATAAATTTGAACCATTAAATATAACGTCATTAAGCTACCATTATTAAATCGGTAGTGACACACTAAATGCTAATGAATTTGCGTCTTGTGTTTTAAGCAAAAGAAAATCTCCCTAAATTGAATTGGAAATTGTGTAATATTGCCATGTAGTATTTTTGTGGCCTTTTAAATGCTACATGGCAAATCAGCCAAGTCATATGTTAACGGAGGAGGCAATTTGCCCTTGTGTGCCCTGAATAATTCACACACCATAATTTTGTTTGAATAAAAATAAAATCCTTTCATTTGCTTCTGGTGTTCTTCACCACGGTTTTGGAAAGATAAAATAAAATGAGCAACAGGTATAGCACTCTAAAAGTGATACATTTTATTTTGACACTTGTGCTGTACCATGGATTTAATTGATATCAATGTGAGGGGAAACACTGACTTTGCTAAACCAATTTCTTCAAGACTGGTTAGGGAGATATGTTCATAAGCTCACAGGCATAGATTAACACTGCAAGAGGCAAGTGGTACCTTCCACCCACACAGGCATACTGTCTCTTCCTCTGTGTCTTGTCTATGACTGATTTCATAAGAAAATCACCTCTGCTTCCAAGGTCACTCTTTTTCTTCTTGGCCCAGATGTTATGGTAATTTTCAGCCAACACCTCCACCATCCCCTTGGGCCAAAGACGAGAGAGACAAATCAGTACATCTCACTAAGGGGCATGTCCTGCCATCACTACTCATTCACATTCAGGAAATATTGCTTTTCCTCTTGTATTCACCGAGGGATTGTTAAATGCAAAAAAGGTGAGGTCAATCACCTGCAATTCTCTGGATAAAACCACGTTGCTCATGTCTATCGGGCTCGGATTAAAGCCATTTGCCTGGAAATTGTGAAACAGAATGCATATTTACAGAGACAAGCAGTGAGTTATTAGTTATAAATCAACACTTTGCACAACAAGAGAAAGTTTCCGCTTTGTGCCAACAGCAAAAACCTCTCTGATCTACAATTGCATACTCTGTGAAGAGGTGATGTCCTACAAGTAAGAACATGTTGACTGAAAGTAACAATAAGCTTAGGATTTAGATTTAATTAAACAAGAAACAATCAAAATTATGCAAATATGTTGAAAATAAACAGCTAAATACAATTATAAATAGCTCATGTTATAACACAAAGCACCAAATGTTACAATTGTGTGTAAACAACAGTAAGCAAGCAGAGATGTGGTAGTATAAGTTAAATGCAGAATACATGTTTGAATTATTGATAAAAGTAAGAATGAAACAGTTGAGATAGTAAGCTATAGAAGTAAGGTCATTTATTTATTTCAAATTCAGGAGAGTTGTTGAAAGAGTTAGCTAACTGTAGCGAATAAATGGTTGAAGAAGTATAAGTGAAAACTTGACCAAAACAACCTAAACATTGGCAATTCAATTCCATATATAAAATCAAATGTATAATCCACAATAGCCTACATTAATAGCACATGTTAACCTGCTTGTTTAAGAGAAAATCCAAATATAAAAGTATTTTAAATGATTAAAATTAAAATGCTAATGATTACAAGATGTATGATGAGCTGATCATCATAAAAACACAATGTTGGTAGCAAAAGTGTTTTTGCATGACTTTTAATGTTAGTGTTTCCTGTCATATTCATATTATTTGCGCTGTACCTGTGAAGTCTGAGAGATCTTTCGCATTTTCTCACTCTCCCTCTGTTGAGACATGCTCTCTCCATCCTTGTTCCTGTCGATGCTCCAGCCCATTGCCAGCATACTCTTCAGGGAGTCTCTAATTGGCCATCTGTAAATCTCTTTCTCCTGAAGCACAGAGACAAAAATGGGGAAAAAGCCCAGAAGCCACAATTTTTAGATTATTTATTCAGTTTCTTTATTTTCTTTTTGTACAAATCTCACATTCTGTACCTTCTCTGTCAGGGCTTTGTATATTCTGAGCTGGGGGTGAATCTTGGACTTCTCATCAACACCATCTCCATATTTCCATCCAAGCAGCACCTGAGGCGCAAGCACAGAGGAAAGTGAAAGAAATCGTCAAAGTCCCCTAAGGACGTGATATAATAATTGAAAGACTGTGAAGGGATAAGACATAAAGGAGTCATGGTACATACAGTTCTTGCTCTTCAGCTCTAGTTAAAAATGTCGACAGATGCAACAAAGCAGGCTTAGCAGTTGGCACAAAAAAAGAGCAGGGTATTTTTACACAGAGACTCGCAATTGTTAGCGTGCCCAGAGGATCCCTTTCAACAGTAAGAAAGAGGAAGCATCACCAAAGGAAACAATGCTGCTATATTGGAAAAAACAAAAATACTAACATGGCTGCTTTTGTGCTGACCTTGCTTGCATTTTAAGATGTCTTGCCTTTCTTACACTCAGGACCTGGTCAGAGTCGAATACTGTGCAAGTTAATAATCTTATCTTCGGCCTTACCTTCTCTGCTGACCATTTCTCATGGGCGTGCTCTCCGTATTTGTTGGCAAAGTGCTCAAGCTTCTCTGGAAGAGCAATACTGGTAAAAAGGAGTGAGACAATTAGTCATGTTGTGTATGCAAATGTGTTTTAGTGTTATCACAAATATGATATACAAGTCATGCTGATACTGCAGTTTATATTAATGTCAAACAAGGCTTACTTAGCAGTACTGATGGGTTTGGGGTCAAAGTTGCCCTGAGCATCTACAGAAACTGGCTTCTCCACTGTGGTGCTAATGGAGGCGTCCACATAGTCCGGTGGCAGAGCTCCAGCTATGGCACTGAGGCAAGGCATGGCCATCTTGAATAGCTCTGCGTCGTAATTCTGCATGGTGAGAGAAAGAAAGCTACGGAGTTAATGCAAAACAAGTAAGTGTTTTTATTTTGAATCCATTGAAAATAGGACTTGAATAAAGCTATTAGGATAATTGAGCCACAGAAGAGACGTTAATGAAGAATTCTTCTAAAAGCTAAGAAGCCAGCGTGTTAGAGGCTTTGGATCAATGATGACTGTACAGATATTGATGTTTTCAGGCCGCCCCTCTGCACAGCCTCCTTTCATGAGTGTGCATTTAGAGAGACGTGCTGATTTCTGCCACCTGCATTATCAACAGACCTTAAGTTATGTGTGCCAATGTGTCCCTCGCTAAATCCATATTTATCAAGATGATGATGAATACGTTGACTTTCATTCAACTGTTTATCATATTTGAAGAGCATTTGTGGGATTCGACGGGATCCCTTAATGTCAAGTGAGATTACAGATCTGGTGTTGCATTTTACAAATCGGACCTTAATTGACTTTTGCCAGAACATTCAGGCTAAAATGTCATTTGTGAAACAGTTGGCGGGAAAAAGGTTTTAATACTCATTTTGGCCACAAGAGGCTAAAGTGCACCAGTACCCCATGTTCGAAACGGGACTAAAAGCATTAACGTTCTCTTCTAGGTGAGTTTTGAATTTCTCCATTCACTGTAAACACAATGTGTATGAATTGTGTGTAAGAAAGTTATGTAACATTACTGTCATGTTTTTTCCTACTTGTTTTGCAGATATAAAAACTACAACTTATTAATATAACAATTACATGTAATGAACCCAGGAGGAAAAGTCAATATGAATCTGACTAAGACAAATTTATAACAATCATTTGTTTCCCAAATTGCCTCTCAGGGCTTCTGTAAAATATAATCTTTGACAAACTTTTTTAGTTTATTTTAGAGTAGACATCAGTCTTTTGAGAAACACGTGTAATGCAAAAGTCACATGGAAATTGCGAAGGACCCTAATAAGAGAAAAGACTTGAGTGAGCCCTCACCCTCTGGGACAGAGAATCAAACACTCCCCAGAAGATTTTCTTGGTGAGCAGCAGTTCATCCTCGGATGCTGTGCCGTAGCTGCCCCAGCCCGACGGGAGGCAGTAGTACTTCCAGTTCTGCTCATAGTGGTTGGTGAGCAGCTGGAGGACACACACAGGGCAAAGGTCAACACAAGCAGAGTAATAAACAACAGTTTTCTGTTACAAGCAACGCATATGTATCCTTTACCAATGCTCCCAACACATTGAGCCGTTATAAATCCTTGTGGAACACAATTTCACAGGCTAGTCACAATATATCACATCTTCAGTATTTTTCTCATGTCTTTCAGACGGATTGAGTGGAGCGCTGGAGCCAACAAGCCTGTAATCACAAAGTCCAATACTTCATCCCCTTGTTTTTCCTCCTGCAGCGGCCCACTTCTTCCACACCGGATGATTAATACTGTGGCTGTGTTAGAAAGGCTCACCTTTGAGTGTGTATTTGTGAGTGTGTCTGAGAGACAGAGGTGTACACCAGTATTATTACATTAAAAGGTAAAAATGTAGTGGAAATAAGATGTTGGTACGTCCCCCTACAAACTTAGAAACTGAGGTCGTTAAAAGCAACCAAGCAGTGACCCCACAGGCGAAACAAAGTGTTGAAAAGTACAGAAGGAAAGACATTAAACAGCTAAAACTGAGGCATGGAAGAAGACCGACGTGCATGAAGATATAAAGGCAAGATTTAGGATTTAAAACGTGGTAAAAGTGAAGAAATTGTTGCTCACTCTCAGAGGCATCTTGCAGTAATCAGTCAGCAAGGGCACGTCAAAGACGAGGCGGTGCAGGAGCTGCTGCAGCATGGAGGGACGAAGGTGCCTGTAGAATAGGGCGAGAGAGATAAGAGAGCTGCAGCCTCCAGCTGCCTTTGACCAGAACTTATTCACTCTGACCACTTTTGTGACACTGATTTAAGAGGGATATCTTAGGAAACCATGCCCTGAGCTATAATAGAGTAAAGTTAGAAAGCAGGATGCACTGCTGATCTTTTACAGCAAACTCAGATATCACTAAAGCCAGGAAAAAGCGTTTGACTCCACTAAAAGAGAGTCTGTAAGAACACTCACTTGCAGACGGCCAGCAGGCACTCCTCTATGGCGTCTCTCTGGGCCTTGGTGAGGGAGCGGCCCTTGGAAAGGCGGTAGATGGTGTGCAGAGTGGAGTCGATGAGAGTGGCGTAGTGCTCCGTGCCGGCGAAGAGAGGGGCGCAGCGGGTGAGGAGAGGGAGCATGGCTGAGCCGATGAAGCGGTTCATGGCCAGGGCTGTCTCTGTGGTACAAAGACAATCCTGTGGAAGGGGAGGGTCACCGGTCAGACATCAGGTGGCAGCTGGGGCAAAACTTAAACTAATTTAGGATAGTAACAACCTTTTTCTTTAGAGAAAATGTTTGTTGTTGTTTGTTGGCTATTTAATGCTACAGCCTTACTTGGTCTGATATGTCAAGTGGCTCATGTAAGCAAACTTAACATAAACATTGCTGAGCAACTCTAAAACCCCTTCACTACGTGTGCTACTCCTAAACTATGTCTGTATTAGCATAGTCTTGCAGAGATTTTAATGACAATATGAAAAAAAAAACGTCCCTTGCTGTCTTTGGCTGTGATTCAAAACAAACACTGCAGTGTACACATCGTTTACAAACAATTGGACTCAGCTCACAAAATAGCTGACTTCACTGCAGGCTAGGTGCTCAAAACGACTTTCAGTCCTTCGTGTGCTGCTGTGCTGTAAATACAATTGACGATGATGATGATGGCTTCATTTAAGCCTTAAGTCTGGACTTTATTGATTTGAGTTTAAAGTTCTTAAACTGTTTGTTGATAAGAACAATCACTTAAATTAACCGATGATGAACTTCAACCTTCATGAGGATCACCTCATAAAAGTTTTCCTAATATAATAGATCCTGAGAACTCTTTGATATGGTTCATGTTACAGACGCCAGCTGTTTATAACTTCTCTCCCATGTTTTTGTAGGCTTTGCCCACCGTATCCAGAGATGTAGCCGCCCTCAGGTCAGGAAGAAAGCCCACTTCGAGGAGGTGAAGCAGAAAGCTCTGGTCCTCGATACCATACACCCTGTCCAAAAACAGCACCATGGGGGCCTTGTGGTCCGGACAGAAACAGGCAGACATGTCCGGCTCAGTCACTGACCCATCTGGGAGGGAAGGAGACAGGAAAAGGAAGAAACAACAAAAAGAGTAAACCACTCAGGAGCAAAAACACCCCACAGTGCATAATAAAAAGTCCTTTCTGATTAGAAAAGCCATGTGTATTTATTAGGTGGCATGTAGCAGCATGTGAAGGAGAGTTTTGGGCTCCCTCTTGGCCTGCTGACAGAGTTTGTGTGGCGCAATCTGGGCAGCAAATCTAGGAGCCGAGTCTTGCCATGCTTATGCAGATTAATCAATAGAGCAGACAGCTCGCTATAGAAATGATCAGGCTGATTAAAAAGGCATGAGCAGTGAAATGTAATCAATAACCTTCCACCTTGCTCTGAATGTGCCGACTTTTGTCAACCATTGTACCTCCACGTCAGCTGGATTCCCTAGCATGCACAGGAAGAGGATGTGTCCCATGATGCTGTGTGTGTAGTAAGAGTGATCATGACCAGTACCTTTGTTGGTGATTGGCATTTTGAGCGGTATGCTGATAATTCCCACAATGTCTTCAGTCGGCACCAGAGAGCGCAGGATTGCACGAATACGCAGAGCTTCACCTTTCCCCTTGTTGATAAGCTAAAAAAGTGAAAAGGAAGTAGAATTATGGGCATCTGTGGGAAAAGCGACAATTAAATTCATAATTTGTATCCAACGTACATGCATCTCCGGTGCGCAACGTCCCAACAGGTCGATGAGTGCAGAGTAGAAGGACATGATGGCGTTGCCCATGTGTACCACCTCCTCCTCATCGTCACCATCAGCAGACCTAAGAGTGAAACGGAGGAAAACGTTTCTAAAGGGCATCACAGTAAAGATCCAAGCGAGGGGGATAAGCTTATCTCCTCAGGATTGTAAATCCTCAGTATTGATCTGAGAATTTTTGCTTGATCTTTCCGTCTTACACATCAGAGTTGACTCCGTGCACAGAGCCCGGCAGGTCCAGGGCCGGCGTTTCAGAGATCTTGATGGCTTCCTTCATGGCAGCCAGCAGGCCGTTCCCCCCCTCCCCCCTCAAGGCGGGTCCAAAACACTCTGGGCGACGGATGAGCAGCTTGACTACAACGCTGGAGTTCTCCTCCACGCTTTCGCCTGGAGCATAGACATACAATCATAGAAGCTTATACAGTGCATATAATAAAAATAAATTATTAATGTCCCCATAAAAATACATAAACACACCACTATGCCTAACATTTAGCTTTGAGCAGGTGAATTAAAGTCTTTCAAACACAGTTGGACCTTTGGTCGCTTTTCTACTTGTTAGGATAGAAAACAATTATAATAATAAACAGAAAGAAAGAAAGTCCAGATCATAAATGCAGTCTTACCATTCACAAAGACAGCAAACCGCAGGAAGGAGAGGTAACGCTCCCCCTCTATGGGGTTCCAGCCGATGTCTGGATAACCTTTAGCTAAGAGTATTGGACAACTCTGGAGCCCACATCCTGCTAGGTAGGTGACCACCTAAAGGTGCAGCACATACATAACTTCACATTAAAGATCAATACTTATCCAGCTTTAGCCTTTTCTTCCCAAGTTATTTTAAATTGGGTAACAAAAAAAGGGAGAGTCTTACCTTGTCCAGATCAGGCTCCTCCAGCGCCAGAGCCAGGCCGTTGTTGTCCATCACCGAGGAAGCAGCCACGTCCAGAGGAGTGGAGCCCCTCATAGCTGGTGAAGCTACAATACAAAGCACAAGCATCTAACTTTAGTATTTGACTGAAGCCTGTGTCTGTGTTTACATGTCAGCCAACAGCAGGGGGTGGTGTTGCCACTGGTAGCTGATGTGCCAGCATCTGGTTAACATCAGTGTTAAAGGAAAGTGTCCTGTACCAATTTGCTATCGATACATATAATATTATGAGGTGAGGGGTCACTCAATATTTGGTGTTAATAGGAACCCGTTTATGTAGCAATGTAAATACTATGACCATCATTAATACTTCCTATTCCAATCCCAAAAAACTATTTTCTATCTTCTCCACCCTCTTGGACCCCCCCCAAAGCACCTCCCCCCTCCTCCCTTCTGTCAAGCGACTTTGTTAACCATTTTGAAAAAAAGGTTGATGATATTCGCTCTTCTTTTTCTGACTCACCTTTACTCACCGCTGGGTCACCAGACTCACCTTTCACCCACACACTGACCTCCTTCTCCCCTCTCTCTCCAAGTGAGGTTCTTACCCTCGTTACCTCTGCCCGTCCTACCACCTGTTCTCTGGACCCTATCCCCTCAAACCTCCTTCAGACTATCGCTCCTGATATTCTACCATTTCTCACCCATTTCATCAACACTTCTCTAACTTCTGGTCACTTTCCAAACAGTCTCAAGGAGGCAAGAGTAAACCCTCTCCTAAAGAAACCCACTCTCAACCCGTCTGATGTTATTAACTACAGACCCGTCTCTCTCCTCCCGTTCCTGTCTAAAACACTTGAACGCGCTGTCTTTAAACAACTCTCCTCTTATCTCCATCAGAACAACCTTCTGGATCCGCACCAGTCTGGTTTCAAGGCAGGTCACTCAAAAACCAGAACTGCTTCACTTGCAATGTCACATGACGAAACGCACACGCTAAAAAAGCAAGACTCCCATCTCCCTCTTGATCATATCATCCCTATACTGGAACCATATCTGAACGCATTCGAACACGGTGAAACCATACGGATCCTTCTCTGTCGCACTGTCCCAGAACCATTGGAAGNGACGCCGTTTTGCATTTCTATAGGTTGTAGATACGAACATGGTTTTATATATTATCACGTTTAATCGTGTTTTATGCCGTTTGCCAAGACTTGATAAGTCGCTCGTAAAACACAGGAGGTATGGAAACTAAGAACACCATATGTGGTAAATTGTACAGCTAATATAACACAACACATTAGTTGTATTTCCTTTAACTGGTGGATATAGAGTATATAGTTGCTGATCGACAGCTGGCACACAAACCACCAAATACAAAAACATAATTCAGATCCAGCCGTCATGACTCCACTCCGGAGGGATTCCCCGATCATTTCTTACAGTTTCTCATCAAGGGGGGGTCTCCTGTCCCCGGTACAAACACACTGCCTGAGGAAGGCTATGTGTATTTTTTTTGTCATTAACCTTTTTCGGACAACTTATTTATTTATTTTGGTGACGATCCGACCTCCATGCTGCTACTCTGGTTCAAACTGCATCCACCAAACAATATGATTTATCTCCACCTCCCCAAAATAACCAAAATCTGACAAGGTGTGAGAAGTTTTTTTTTAGCTGTTCTGTCGTCATTTCCTGCTATCTTCTCCATGCAGTCAGTCAAAATGAACGAATGAATGGGCGTTTCTTTTACTATTCGAGTCGGTTGTGATTTATAAAGGGATTTATAAAGGGAAACCGGCGTAGGAAGTGCCATACGCACTTTCCTCTCCGGTACGCAATGTTTGGTGAATCGGAAAGTGGCGGAAAATGTATGGACCTATTTTTCCGGATTTCTACTACGTAAGCAACCTTCCCACGTCAATCCTACGCACGGCGTTATACATGAGGCCCCTGAACTTTAAATATAGTGCACATATTTTGAAGCTGTTTGACAGCTTGACTGCAGCTTTATGAGGAATGTAAAGCTGTGTAAGCCCTTCCTGTATGCCTGTACTGACATTAAAATGATAGGTATCTGACCCTCTTACCACTGAAATGGGCTGTTAACCTCATTTCCTGTCCGCAGGTTCCAAAGTACTGCAGAATGATGAGTTCACTAAGGATCTCTTTAGGTTTCTGCAGCTTCTCTGTGAGGGACACAACAATGGTAGGTGGACACGTTCCCATAAATTAAGATTAAGAAGAGCTGCATATTCTTTATCTTATTTTGCTATCTTTTTTCAGATTTTCAGAACTTCCTGAGGACTCAGACAGGAAACACAACAACAGTTAACATTATAATTAGTACTGTAGACTACCTGCTAAGACTCCAGGTATGGTATCATTACAAAAAGAAAATCATATATTCCTTCATGTTCTTTAATGAGCTTAATCCTTATCTCCTTCTTTCAGGAATCCATCAGTGATTTCTACTGGTACTACTCTGGTAAAGATATAATAGATGAGGCGGGTCAGAGGAACTTCTCTCAAGCACTAGCGGTGGCCAAGCAGGTCTTCAACTCTTTAACTGAGTATATACAGGTAATATACCGCAACACACTTCACCACAGCAAGCAATAATTAAAAACCTGAGCTGAAAAGACTGATTTTGATCCTCTCTGTTTCTCCTCTGTGGTTCAGGGTCCATGCATTGGGAACCAGCAGAGTCTGGCTCACAGCAGGCTGTGGGACGCAGTGGTCGGCTTCCTCCATGTTTTTGCCAACATGCAGATGAAGCTATCCCAGGTTTGTACTTTAGTCCGCATAAATCTACTGCTATGTTTTAATACCCTACATTTATATTGTTGAGGCACTTGCACCTTGCAGATAAGTGTACATCCAAGGCCTTTACATTGATATATTGATTTAAATATGAAATAAAACAGTGACAACTTTGATTTGTATAGGCTTATAAAACATAATTCACTGCCGTTTTGCATTAACATTACTTTAACTGATTTTATGTTTTAGTGTATAGATATATAAATAATTTATGGTGGGAGAGAGAGAGGTGCAATGGAAGAAGCTTGCTGGATTTGAATCAGGGTAATGTGCAAGCAGAAATTTAATCTTGGGGTAGTTTTGTAGCCAAGTGTTTAATCCACATCATTAAAAGGGTTTTATGGTGTGCATCTTAATCATTCAGCCCCCAGAAGATTACATGTCTGCCTATACATCAGTGATAATAATCCAATAACATTGGATACATAAACTTTAATGGGGGCACTTTGTACGATTATGTTAAACTTTAGTACATTTTCCTAATAAAGTATTGCCACTTTGACTAAAATATATCTGATTTCTTGATCCACCAATGGTGTGAGTCAATGTCAGCCAGAAAATCCTTTATTTTCTGTTTAACCACTAGAGGTCTCTCCAGGCTCAAGGATAACCTCAGGCTGCTGCATTACAATTACATCTGTCCTTCCACTCAGCTATATGATGTATGACTCCATCTATGATATTTCCTCAATGCCCAATAAGCCAGGAATGGGATAAAATCCAGCCACCTAACCTTATCTCATGGTCATTGAACGGACAGTAGAAGCCAGTGTGAGGGAGAGTGGAAGGGAGGGGTCTGAATTTAGCGCATCAAAGTATGCTTCAGATTTATGGCATGCTGAATACAGACTCCATAGAGACTCTAAATGAGTCAGACTGACCTAGCCATCTGCTCTGAGACAGTAAAATAACATTAACCCTGGTGCTGATGGATGGATGTTACCTAGAAGGCCCTTCTGCGCCCCAGCAGGGCCAATTCTGGTCCCCACGATGTGAGGCAGCCTTGATCTCTCAGGGATTTTATACAGGATGACTGTTCTCTTATAGCGAGGCCATCAGTAGGCTGTGTGATTTAGTGCAGTTTGAGTCACAAGGTTTCCCTCTTTTTGTCTTCTCCTCACAGGACTCCAGTCAGATTGAATTATTGAAGGAGCTACTGGACCTGCAGAAGGACATGATCGTCATGATGCTCTCGCTACTCGAAGGTTTACTTTTTGATGATTCAACATATAAGTTAAATTGGATCTTCTTTTAACCACTTATATTGCCTTGAGATTCAGAATCCTGGCAATGTCAGCAAAATAAAAACGTTCAATAGTTTGCAAGGATATTGTCACTTTTATGACTGTCATCAAACAGATTTATTTGCCTGTAATGTAATCCAATATTTACAAAAGCAGCTTTGCTTAATCTGCATGGAGAGCGTTGTTTGTTAGGGTCTCCGCAGGGTCTTAAAAAGTATTAAAAGTTGATAAATCAATTTAGGGAAAATTAAGGCTATTAAAAAGTATTAAATGGCATTTTCCAAGGTATTACATGTTGTAGCTTGTTTTCAAATCAAATCAGGTTGTATTTATATAGCACATTTTAAAAACGATTTTTGGTCGAGCCAAAGTGCTGTACATGCAAATAGAAGACAATAAACTACAACAGCAAATATAAAAATCAAACACAGGGAAATGTCATGAGTCGTGCTCAGCTCTGACTAGAAGGCCAGGGAGAAGAAGTGAGTCTTTAGTGTTGATTTAAAAAAAAAAACAGGGTCTGGGCCGACCTCACATTGAGGGGCAGAGTGTTCCAGAGCCTAGGGCCAGCTGCTGCGAAGGCTCGGTGCCCTCGGGTTTTGAGCCTGGTCTTGGGCACTATCAGCAGCAGCTGGTCAGCAGACCTTAAAGCTCTGGCTGGGGTGTAGCGATGGAGGAGTTCTGCTATATAAGCCGGAGCCAGCCCATGTAGTGCTTTTAAAAACAAATAAAAGGAGTTTAAAATCAATTCGGAACCGAATTGGAGCCAGTGCAGTGAGGCCAGAATTGGGGTGATATGGTGACGCTTTTTGTGGCCAGTGAAAAGACGCGCAGCTGTGTTCTGCACTAGCTGCAGGCATCTAATTGACGCCTGGTCCATACCCACGTATAGAGCGTTTCAATAATCCAGCCTCATGGTAACAAAGGCCTTAATAACCCATTCCAGTTCTTTAAAAGATAAAAACGACTTGGTCTTGGCCAATAGTCGTATTTAAAAAAAAAAAAAAAAAAAAGAAGCAGGTTTTGACTACGCGCTGCTGACCTGCTTATCAAATTTAAAAGCGCTATTAGGTCACTCCAAGGTTTATGACAGAGGGGAGGATGTTTTCATTGAGAGAGCCCAGAATATCAACTGGAGAGGCTGGGGGTTGGGGTCCAAAAAAGATGACCTCGGTCTTGCTCTTGTTAAGGTTGAGGAAATCTTGGCTCAGCCAGGATTTGATCTCTGTCAAGCAGTCCATCAATAGTTGTAATGAGTTGACATTAGAATTGAGAGGCAGATCTGTTTTCAATAAGTATATAAATTGTCCAAAGAGGTTGTATTCTAAAGTTTGCCTTAATGTAATCATTGCGTAGGTGTGTAGTGTGATTCTGTGTAATTTATGTATGGCATCCCGTTGGATTTGACGTCATCTGAACAGGACATCGCACGCTCACTGCTTGATAGCGGGCGAAGGTCCATTTACGCCGGTTGTTAAACAACATCGTTATGGGGAAATGCAAGTTTGCATCCAAATGGTTGGAAGATAAGGAGGAAGGACCAATCAAGGATCAATACTGTATATAGTAAATGTGAGGTAAAGTGTGTCGCCAATGTAACCGGTTAAAACTCGAAGTGGCGATGAGGTCTTAAAATGTATGGAAAGGGTCTTAAAAAAGGTCTTAAAATGTATTACCTTCAGGATTCCTGCATATACCCTGTTTGTTGATGTGTGAACTAACACACTTTGCTTTGGTCTGTTTTTTTCAATACCTCACAGGTAATGTTGTCAATGGTACCATTGGCAAACAAATGGTGGACACCTTGGTGGAATCTTCAAGCAACGTGGAGATGATCCTCAAGTTTTTCGACATGTTCCTCAAGTTGAAGGACCTGACTACCTCAGACAGCTTCAAGGAGTACGACCCAGAGAGCAAAGGGGTGATCTCAAAGAAAGATTTCCAGAAGTCCATGGAGAACCAGAAGCAGTACTCGCAGTCTGAGATCGAGTTTCTCCTCTCGTGCGCTGAGGCTGATGAGAACGACATGTTCAACTACGAGCAGTTTGTGGAGAGGTTTCATGAACCTGCCAAGGACATTGGCTTTAATGTAGCTGTGTTACTGACGAATCTCTCCGAGCACATGCCTCATGACGCTCGACTCGCCACATTCCTCGACCTGGCTGAGAGCGTCCTCAGTTACTTTGAACCTTACTTGGGTCGTATTGAGATCATGGGGGGAGCTAAGCGCATCGAGAGGGTCTATTTTGAGATCAGTGAGTCAAGCCGTACCCAGTGGGAGAAGCCTCAGGTGAAAGAGTCAAAGAGGCAGTTTATCTTCGATGTCGTCAACGAAGGCGGGGAGAGCGAGAAGATGGAGCTGTTTGTCAAGTTCTGCGAGGACACCATCTTCGAGATGCAGCTAGCTTCTCAGATTTCCGAGCCTGACCCGGTGGAGCGTCTAGAGGAAGATGAGGAGGACAACCAGAGTGTGGTGGAAACCCCCGAGGAGGAAGAGGAGGAGAGTGTGATGTTGGAGTCTTCCTCCGCGTTTACAATTGCCTGCATCTCCATGAAAAAAAGCCTGTGCCACTTCCGCCAGATGCTCACTCTCAAGAGCATGAGGCGGCAGTACAGGAAGTTCAGGAAGATGAGCATCCGGGAGATGGTGCGAGGCTTCTTCTCTTTCTTCTGGATGATCATCACCGGCCTTTTCCACTTTGTCTACAGCCTGGTTTGGGGTTTCTTTCACATCTTGTGGACCACTATGTTTGGGGGTGGCCTGGTGGAAGGGGCCAAAAACATGAAAGTGACTGACATTTTGGGAAACATGCCAGACCCCACCCAGTTTGGGATCCACGGCGATGTGTTAGAGATGGAGAAGATGGAGGCGAGTGAAGCGTCGGCGCTGGCAGAGATGGGTCAGATGTCTCAGGGAGAGGCAGGAGAGGCAGACCTGATGGCTGAGCTGCTGAACATACAGCCCAAGAAGGAGGGGAAGCACGGGGCCGAGCCCGGTTTGGGGGACGTGTCTGAGGTGGTGGTGGGAGATGCTCCATCCATAGCCAGTGCTGTCAGGCAGAAGAAAGCACAGGTCAGTACTGATGATAAATCCTGTTGAATAAGGGTACCTTTATTCTCAATCGTGTCTTAAAGGGACAGTCCCACCCAAAACAAAAGAACAAGAAAATGTCCGTCATAACATTGTTCTCTACGGTTGGTCGGCAGTGTTATTGAAAACGTGTTCCATCATAAAATGGCTTAAAACAAGGTCTGTGGTCTGCGGCGCCATGGAGCAGTTGGGGTTTGGTGCCTTGCCAAAGGGCACCTTGGCTGTGCCCAGGAGGAGACTGACCCCTCCAGCTACAATACGCACTCTGTACTTTTTGGTCCGACCAGGACTTGAACCGGCAGCCCTGTGCTACCCAAGCCAAGTCCATAAGCTCCTGCCGCCCGATTTTACTGATATTTTACAACATTCTTCTTGTGTGCAGTGAGATTAAGTACCTTGGTCATTATATCTCTGATGATCTCACAGATGACAAAGACATCCATAGACAACGCTGCAAACATATTAATGCGGAAATCACAAGTGCTCTGTAGATGTCAAGGTATTACTTTTTAAAGCTTGCTGTACACCATTGTACACGGCTCACCTGTGGAGTAACTACAAGGCTAGAAGCATACAAAAACTAAAAGTTGCATACAATGATGCTATACGGTTGCTGGTGAGGGTACCAAGATGGCACAGTGCCAGCCAGCTGTTTGTTAACTTGGGGGTACCTACCTGTCAAGCCCTTTTTAAGAAATGGAATGTACAAATTCATGGGTCGCCTAGCAGAGTCAGACAATCAGGTTATCTCGATTCGATTTAACCCTGTGAAGAGTTCTACTCGGTTCTCTTCCATGATTTGGAGGTATTGGCGCAACAGCCTCTACAGACAGTGAGCATATATGTGTGGCTAGCTGTCATTGGACTGATTTTATGTTTTTCATCAGTTTTTTTGTTTTTAATCTTATTCATTGTTGTGTATTTTGTCATTTTGTATGTGATATGGACCTTGAGTCTGAAATAAAGATTGAATAAACAATGTACTTTGTTCTAGTTGGCTGCAAAGAAGGTGACTGTTAATGGAGACTACACATCTGATTCAGAGAAAGGAGAGTGAGTGTTTTTAATTTGTCCACCCTCAAAGGAAATGGAATTGATAAATGTTTGATGTGAGTCACATGCAATATGTGTGCATTGCATATATAAGTCCACGCCACTAACAGAGAAATGCTTCTTGCAGTTCAGAGGATGGTGAGAAAAAGGACCATGATAAGTCTAAAGACGAACCCCCTCCGGACCCCCCAGTGCTGAAGAAAGTCCCCAAGAAGAGGATCGATGTGAAGAAAGAACTACCAGAGGCCTTCATGGCCAGCTTCTTCGCTGGCCTGGAAATCTACCAAACCAAGATGCTGGTCAGTCATTCCCTCAAAGTTGTGTTAAAATATTTTAACTATTAGCTTGAGTATGTTAAGGAAGTACAAATCAGCAGGTTGTATATATAAAACGTATACAACAATGATTATTTCCACAGAACTACCTGGCAAGAAACTTTTACAACCTCCGTTTCCTGGCACTTTTTGTTGCCTTTGCTATCAACTTCATTCTGCTCTTCTACAAAGTAAGGTTGCAAATTGAAGTGTCCTTACATATCCTTGTAGGCTATACATATATACTTTGGTAAATACCTATAAACGTTGTTTTTAAGGTGACCGGTGATTACGCAGACGATGAAGATCCTTGGAATGGTCAGGGTAGAACAGGGGAGGAGGAAGACGAGGGGGCCCTGGAGTATTTCGTGCTGCAGGAGAGCACAGGCTACATGGCGCCAACGCTCCGCTGTCTGGCTATCCTGCACACCATCATCTCTTTCCTGTGTGTCGTGGGATACTACTACTTGAAGGTAAAGGGATATCAACTGACCAGAAAATACACTTAACTTTTCATTTGTTTTTACTCTCTCCTTTTTTTACTTTTTTTTTTAAGGTGTAATTTTAACAAATGATTTAGTGTAGCATTTTGCAAATGGGCCAAATAGGAATTTTAAACCCATTTTGCAAGTTAAACAAGTTTTTTTTTCTAATTAAAATATAATATCTCAAAAACAAGTTGTTTTTTTTTTTTAGAAGAAGAAGAACACGTCTATCCTGTGTTAACAGGCATACACACTCACTCATGCCCCCTGTGTCCCTTTAAGCTGTATGGATAAGCAACACTTGTGATATGAAACACATTAAAGGTAGGGTATGTAAGTTTGAGAAACCGGCTCGAGATACACTTTTTGTTATATTCCATGGAATGCTCTTAACATCCCGATAGCAATGAATATCTTAAGTGCTTTGACCAAAAATCCATAAAAAATGTCATCTGTGGAAGCCGTGGTACTGTAAAAAGTATGACCAATCATTTTAGCCGGCCTGGCTAAAATAACTGGATGGCCTACCTGCCTGTCAGCCTTCCATCTGTGCACAAACTTATCTCGTGCCCTCATTGGTCATGTGCGCGTTTGTGTGTGTTGGAGGAGGGGCTCTGTAAGGAAGTGGAAGATTTTTTCCGGTTGTGTATGTTCAAATTCTAGCGCACTCGAGCTGCTTTCTCCAAAATTACCTACCCCACCTTTAAGTATTAGC